AAAAAGGGAAAGTTTTTTTTTTTTGTTAAGCAACAATCGTGATGGCTGCCGCTTTCTTCTCGTGTGCGTCTATGTGTGTAGAATTTATGCATTTCCCCTCCCCCGACGCCCCTCACCATCGAGGGAAGAAAAAAACAAGCGGCCATTGAAAGCTTTTATGTGCGGATAGGAGTTTGTCTTGTCCGCGCCTGGCAACGGATTGACCTGTCGCGTTGCCACCTGCGGCGGCGAGGGTGATGTGCCTGGCCAGCAGGGGGCGTCACCGTGGCACTGTGTGGCACATAGTGGCCTAATGTCCTGTCAGAGTTTCAGTGAAATCAGATCCAGGGCTCTGAAAGGTTGTGGCTTCACTCTCAGGTTGGGTCCTGAACCCATACAGTCACAGCAGCTATTTCTGTGTATGGAGCTCAGGGTAGTTTAATTTTGTGTGTTTTCTTTATTCTAAGAATGGTCAGTGTCTACTCCCCCCCCCCCCCCCCCCCCCCCCCCCCCCCCAGACTCTTCTGAGGATACCGGAATCTTTCCAGACCACTGCCAGGTGGACTGCCACCTTGTGAACCAAAACCAAAAACCTGCTTAGGAGAAAAAAACCTAGGGAAGGCTCAGATCTGATCTCTGCCTCGTTTCTAAAGGGGTTTATGGAAAACCAGAGGCTGTAATCCAATATCCGACTTTCTGTATGACCAAATGTCCCCACAATGTGATACTTTTACTTTTTAACTTGTGGGAACATTCTTCATATTTTTCATCTGTAAACATATATTTATGATGTAAGCAGATATTTTGTCGTGAAATAAAACAGAGTCAAAGATATCCGATTTCATATTTTGATAAAATATGCAGTTACGGTGTTTTGCCTCTGTATGACTGTATAATAAACATAAATATTTATTTTTGAAGATAAACTGTTAAGTTATTTCCATTGCTACAAATGAAAAGCCATTCTGACAATATTTGTTTTTCGTAATTAGCGATACTGCAGCTACTCACCGGCTGGTCATAGTCAATTCTGATACACCTCCCTGTTTACTTTTATCCCTGGGGGGGGGGGGGGGGAGTCACTTTTGCACATTATAAATGCGAAGACACATTCATTTGGTCAAATTGCAAATACTTTGGCACAGACATGCAAATGACTGTGTACAATCATCTGCTGATTCCTACAGTAACAAATGTTTATGTCATGCTGGTCAAAATGTATTATACTGGTACTCTGTTGAATAATCTTACCCCATAAAACATCTAGGCATTGCTTCATTGTATAAGTCATTGCATGCAAAATGGTTGAACCAGTTGACATAATCTGTCAAGCATATTCTCTATACATCTCTATTACAGGTTTTTTTTTTTTTTTTTTTTAAATTGTGCCTTGAATGTAATTTCATTCAGGTGAATCTTGACTTTCACCAATAGAAGGGAGTGTTTGAAGTGTTAGATCGACCACTGATCATCCAGTTCTCTAAAACAGTTCAGAGGTGCATCTAATGAACGTTGAGTTGGCAAGCATATGGTTACAGAGCACAACACAATGTCACAATTTGGCAATGGAGGAACAACAATGGGAGAGTCAACAGCCGGTGAGAAGAAGAGGAGTAATGCTGCATTGTGGAAGGGTAGGGAGGCGAAACAGAGGAAGAGGTAGAAGAGGCCAAGAACAGAGGCACGTTCCACATGAAATAAGGGCCACAATTGTGCCCCATGTCCTCAATCATGACCTTACAATGGCCGAGGCCGGTCGAAGGATACGGTCGAATGTTCAAAGGTTTCATAGAGACAGCAGGTATGTAATCAAACAATATGCACTGTCCTGTAATACTGTACTTACTGCAATGCTTCATATCACACTATTCCTCTTCCATTTTCCAGTACACAGTAAATACATACAGTTACATACCATACATATACTGTACCACACACATGGCTTACAGTATATGTAGCTTTGTACTGTTGAAATTGATTTTTACCATACAGAAAAAGTACATCCTTGTGCATTTTTGGTCATTGTCATCAAAACCTTAGCCAGAGTTCACATCGCAAAATACTTACAGAGTGCACTGTTCTATTGACAATATGGCTTAAGCATTTTGACCATCTTGCTCGTGAACAATGAAACAAGGACTTGTCACTTGTTAATGACAAGTTCATTGACATAAATATTTTGAGGGATGAAATAAGGATTTTAGGAAAGTCACAGGCTTTTGCATGTAATCGATCATGTGGTGCTGTTTGTATGAACTGAATCGAAAAATGTACTTACTGTATTGTATATGTTAAGAATGAACTGAGAAATGTACCAAAGCGACTGAGAAAAACTGTGACGGACTGGGACTCGATGTCTCCTCTCGGGACTGGAACAGGGACGAGCACATCAGCACTGGGGATGTGCGGGATCTCTGGGCAGGACTCGCATGAATAAGTATGAGGTGAGGTCAGGATGGAGACATGAATAGGGGAGGGTCACCGAGTGACAAGCAAGCGGGAGCCCCCCCAGCAGGGAGCAGACTAATGGAGAAATGTGAAGACCATATTGCTTCACATGTCCAGAATCGAGACTGACAGATTGATCGGTCGGAGAAATAGCAGCGTTCTCGGCGGGGGGGCGGGGTGTGGGACCCCCCCCTACTGCCTGGGTCTGTAGTGAGATCTCAGGGTCCCCGCAGGTCCCACACAGGCCAGACCCGGGCCTTTGTCCCATGGCTCGACACCATCAGTGGCTGAGTCAGCAACGCTTTGACTGTACCTTTAAAAGAGCTGCAATCTAGGGGATCCAAGATCGGCGACCCGTGACA